AGGAGTAGGCCGCCAAAGAGCCAGAAGAGGACTGAGTGTTACTTTTTCCCTTTTTTTTGTTCTGGTTTCTTCCCCCACGATTTTTTGTTGACGCCCTCTTTGCGTGTGGTCTTTTTGTGTCCTTCTCTGCGGGCCTTAGCACATGATTCAAATGACAGTTTTTGGCGGCTACCAATATCTGGTGCTTCCTTGAAGCTGCTTCAAATATTTCAATAGCATTTTGGTTTCCTTTTTTTTTGAGTTCTCACAAAAGAAAGTTTTGAAGATAAATGTTTCAATTTAAACAAGAAAGGAAGCTAGCGTCGGCAAGCCGAAGCTTATATACCCTTGCAGTCATCAAATATGTCGAAAAAAATAAAGGCTAAGCAACATCGAAGCTAAGAAGATTTTTCTATTTATTTTCCATATTTTCGACTATAGATCATGGGTTATAATTTTATTTCCGTTATTTCAATATAGATTTTTGGATCTTTCCTATGGCAGTTATATGATATAGTACTCCGATTTTTATGAAATTTTTTTCTCAACTTAAGAGTATTTAAAAAACTTTATGTTCCAAAAATCATGCTCGTGGCATTAAAAACAACGGCATTATAATTTTTTTTCCATTATCGCCATCTCGAGCTTCGGTATGAAAATATTGAATAACCTTGGAAAAAACAAAAATTCATGGAAAATGTTTTTTATTTATTTAGATTGATCCTTTACAATTCATTTGAGTTAGTTTTTGAAGGGTCTAGAAAATTTCTGGTTTCAGCAGGACGGGGCCCCATGTTACACAGCAAACGAAACCATGGAGATTTTGCAGCGAAATTCCCTGCATGCGTTGTGTCAAAAAGAGGCGATATCGACTGGCCGGCGCGTTCACCGGACTTGACCCCGCCGGATTTCTTTTTGTGGGGTATACATAAGCAAGCCCAAGACCATCACAGAGCTCAAAGAGAGTATTCGCACTGAAATGGCCAATATATCGGCCGATATGCTCAAGAAAGTAATGGAAAATGCTCGAAAAAGGACACTTTTTGCCGTCAAGAACAAAGGAAGTCACTTAGTCGATATTGTGTTCAAAAACTAACTCAAATGAATTGTAAAGGATCAATCTAAATAAACATACAACATTTTTCATGAATTTTTTTTTTTTCCAAAGTTATTCAATATTTTCATACCGAAGCTCGAGATGGCGCACCCTGTATATATTTTTTGATCTCTCCTATGGCAGCTATATGATAGAGTTATCCGATTTTAATATAATTTAATCCGAAATTCAATAGCAGTTAGAAAACGCCATCTGGAAGGAATCAAGTCGATCTGATCAAAAACAACGTAGTAAGAATTTTTTATTTCATTCTCTTGTATGGGAGCTATCCGATATAGTCGGCCGATCCGGCTCGTTCCGACCTATATACTGCGTGCAACAACTACACAACTTTTGGGAAAGTTTCAGCAAGATAGCTTCAAAACTGAGAGACTAGTTTGCGCGGAAACGGACAGACGGACAGATGGACAGACGGGCAGACGTACAGACGTATTCCGACTCTGCTCGTGATGCTGATCAAGAATATATATACTTTATGGGGTCTGAGGTGTCTTCTTCACTGCGTTGCAAACTTCTGACTGAAATTACAATACCCTTTTGCTCTGCAAGGATATAAAATTCGGTTTAGATGGTTACCCTTAAAATATGTTTCTGGAATGCGAATGGCATTTCTCAGCACAAATATGAGCACTTGCAGTTCCTAGATCAGTATGACATTGACGCCATGCTTTTATCAGAGACTCACCTAACTAACAAAAACTACTTTCAGCTAAATGGCTATTCATTTTATAAAACAAACCATCCTGATGGCAAGACTCACGGCGGCACTGGCATACTGATCAAGAAACGCATGAGGCATTAGGAGTTGCCATCATTCGTAACAACCTTTTTACAAGCTACATCAATACAAATCGATACTGAAAGCGGTTTCTTAAACCTATCCGCTGTATATTGCCCACCACGCTTCTCCATTTCCGAAGATGAATTTGTAAAGTTCTTTGACCTATTAGGTGACCGTTTTATATCGGCTGGTGATTACAATGCAAAACGCCCCCATTAAGGCTCTCGACTCACCAAACCCATAGAAAGACAGCTGTACAACGCTATAATAACTCCAAGAAACAAGCTTGACTTTATCTCTCCAGGTAACCCTACTTATTGGCCAGCAGATCCTAATAAGAAGCCCGATCTGATGGATTTTGCCGTCACAAGAAGAGTGCCTAGAGGTTATGTTCATGTGGAACACTTAACAGATCTTTTATCGAATCACTCGCCCCTTTTACTTCTTCTCTACAACCATCCACAGCTTTCAAAACGAACACATCTTCTAACTTCCAGTAAAATAGATTGGCTTAAATTCAGAAAGTATGTAAGTACCCATATTGATGGCTTCCCAAACATGTACCAAAAAGAAGAGATTGACAGCTCAGTTGAAGCACTAGTGTCTGTTATGTCACTAGCTGGTCAACACTCCACACCTATTATATCGGCTTGTAATTCTAGCAGCAGTCGAGCCCTAGAAGATGAAAAAAATCGATCCCAATTATTCTATTTGAAGAAACTCTCCCCTAACAGCGGACGATATCCACTGTGAAAGCTAAATCGGGTATATGTTCACCAATCGAAAGCGAATCGCCATTTCATACACGAACAGGAGAGTGGGCTCGCAGCAACGAAGAGAGGGAGAATGTATTTGCTGCACATCTGGAAAACGTCTTCAAACCGCTTCCATCAACAAACAGCTTTGTGCTCCCAACAATCATCACTCTAGAGGCTACCCTGCCTATCACATTCGAATCAAGAGAAGTGATAAAAGTGATAGAGGCTCAGAAAAAAAAAGAAAATTATTAAAAATTATTATGGAATAGCTTGGCAATTGCAGTAACACACGACTCCGGCGAAGAGATCTCCCCACCCAGCAACAATAGCTAGGGCCGTTATTCCAAAAAAAAAAACTTAATTTTAATTAATTAATTATATGTATTAGGTTAAGATTTGAATACCTGTCGTTAGTCTCGTTGAGAGAAGGTTCGATAATTAAACACCGTAATTAAAAAAAAAAATATTTGTAAGCCTCAATCAGAATATTGCAACTCTGTGAAGGACACATCTCAGACCACATAAAGCATGTACTAAATTCTTAACAAGCATCACCATCTGAATGAACTTGTCGTGTACGCCTTTCTGTTCCTAAATAAACTACCACTACCAATTACATTACCACAATTTGTGTAGTTATTGCACACAGTATATAAGTTGAAACGGGCAGGATCGAATTAATATATCGTAATCTCTTATAAGTGTCCGATGCATCCAAAATTTAATGAAATAATTTCTTGTAACAACAACGTATATACATATCTGTTTTTTCATTCCAACTTATTGTTCAAGGCCATATCTAGATTGGTATTTTATAGATAAGCATATCGTCTGTTGTTGGAATCTAATATGGTACCTCAATAGTAAATATTAATTAATCCCCTATTGTATGATATACGGCTTGTCACCTTTGGCATTCAAATCCTAAAGTTTTTCTTTGGCTGCATATACCAACTTTATTGATAATAAAAGAGGGCTGCTATAAGTCCATATCGAACAATATAACAGGATATGTGTTTAGGAAAAGAAATGGGATATTCCTAAGTTTTCCTCTCTTTCTCAATTTTATAATACGTTTTCGTTGCTTGCAACCGATGGTGGCCAAATTTGTCTTCCATTCTTTCGTTTCTTTAATTGAATTGTTGTCATTCTCTGTTAGAAACAAAAATATGGGTTTCTGTGAAAAAATACGGCTGAGGGGCTCTCCGACTTATTTATACCTACTCTTTTGATGTTTAATTTTTTAAAACATTAAATCCACTATATAACAAGAAAAGAAGCTAGCTTTTGCAAGCCGAAGCTTATATACCCTTGCAGTCATCAAATATATCAGTCAAAATGCATCAAAACTATGACGATTTTTCTATAAATTTTCCATATATTTTTGATAAAATTTAATTCGTAATTCAAAAATTTATTTCCGTGATTTCTATAAAGATTTTTCTATCTTTATACTATTTAATTTCGGTCACTCAGATCCGAATTTGTACTACAAATCGCATCTTTAATTGTTAATAACAAAAACACGGTTCAAAATTTTCACTCTCCGCCAACGGATTTCGAAGTTTTAGAAAAAACCACATCGTTTCCATATTTTACTTTATTTTTATACCCTTGCAGAACAAAGGGTATTATAATTTCAGTCAGAAGTTTGCAACGCAGGGAAGGAGGCACCTTAGACCCTATAAAGTTCATATATTCTTGATCAGCATCACGATCTGAATCGAAATCCGTCTGTACGTCTGTCCGTCGGCCCGTCTGTCCGTCTGTCTGTTTCTATGTAAACTAGTCTCTCAGTTTTGAAGCTATCTTGCTGAAACTTCTTAAAAAGTTGTGTAGTTATTACACGCAGTATATAAGTCGGAACGAGCCGGATCGGCCGACGATATCGGATAGCTCCCATACGAGAGATTGAAAAAAAAAAAACTCACTCCGTTGTTTTTGATCAGATCGACTTGATTTCTTCCAGATGGCGTTTAATAACTACTATTGAATTTCGGTTTAAATTTAAATCGGATAACTCTATCATATAGCTGCCATAGGAGAGATCAAACAATATATATAGAATTAATGGAAATTAATTGATAACGTCATTGTTTTTCATCACACGACTTTGATTTTTTGAGCATCAAATTTTTTAACTAGTAGCTTTGATTTATAAAAAAAATTTCGTAAAAATCGGACGACTATATCATATAACTGCCATATGAACAATAGTCAAAAATATAAACAGATGCCATAAAAGTGAAAAATTAATGGAAGGATCGAACCTTCTGTGGCATATAAACTTCGAGTCTCCGAAGCTAAATTGTTTTCTATATTTCCTAAATTGTATAACTCTTAAAATTTACTTATCTAATTACAGGAGTTTGCCCATCTGAATGGAACCGTCCACGAAAACGTTTGTGTGTGATTCTCATTACAGAGAAAAATACAAAACATGATTTGGCAAGAGAGGCTTTAAGAGAAATTGCCTTGACAAGTGTATACAGTTCAAAAAGAGTACGATTTGCGTACTTATTTAAGGTAAGCAGGATATTGATTAGTTCTCTTGCTTTGGGCAATCGGAGCTCACATATATATTTTTATAATCCAAAAATAAACATACCGATACAAAACGACAGGTCTCACATCGCATCTTATAGAACTTATAACTGTGAAAAGCTCATGCGAGTTATATAATTAAATGTACAAGGATCTAAAACTAAAAAAATGGTTGTTATTTATTCTTCATGGCCCCAGCAAATTTCGATTGACCATGTTCCGGTACTAAGTTCTCTCCCTCCATGGTGGCGCGGAACTAAGAATTTATCGGTAATCCAACTGTCAATGAAAACATACGCGTTTTTATATCGCTTCGCCGTATTACTAAAAATACATCGTAAATAGCCGAATTCTATTTTGCGAAAGGACGCTCAGAGGGTACGCATGGGTACTTGTGTTCAAGTTGCCTTTGGAAATGATCAATTACTAAGTGTTAGAATTAATAATATAAGTGATTATACAATTGGTCACAAATCAATACAAAGTGTAAGAGCATAAGCTCTGTAATAAAGAGCCATAACGAGCAAGACTCGGCAGCAACAACAAAATGAGCGTCGGCTCTCGTCAATGAGAAATAATGCTTACTTCTCCATAAGTGCGGGAGAGTTAACAGAACCGACAACAAGTGCAACACTGCAGAGAGCACTTTCGGTCTCTCCCGGCTTATTATTCCTAAGCTGCACATGACAAAAACAGCCGTGGAGTGCCCAATGTCCGTTCTCCGACCCCTACGACATAACCAAGGATCTGCTTATTACAACAATGACCAGTACATTGCACTCGTTTAAAACGATGACTTCGACACTATCGACGACAACAACCACTACAACAACCAAGAAAGCCACTGTGCCAAAAAATGCGTTGACAAGAAATTGATTTTTTAGTCTTAGTGATCCAAAAAAAGATGATGTTACCGGTTAAGCACCTAAGGCCAAGCAACTAAGTCCACCACGTCAGGCAAATTGAGCTGAATTGGTTAAAAAACTAACTGATCAAAATGGAGCAAACAAATTCGATGTCAAGTCCTTAAAATAGGGTAACATAAACGAAATAAAAATAGAAGTGAACGAGGAACAAAATTATCGATCAGTGGCCAAACGCCTCTACAACGGAAAAATAAGTTACTACACCTACCAACCTAAAAATTGCAAGGATTAGAAGTAGCTATAAAAGAAATCGAAGCAACAGTCTCTATCGACGAGATTTTAGCTGGGCTTAAAGAAAAGAATAAAAACAAAGTTCCGTAGCTAATGTTCAAGGTAAGGTTGGAGCCGTAAATGCACCTGAAAAACAAAGAAGTTTGTTGAGAAACCCCGAAATGGGCCTGTGCAATGCATGAATTGTCAGGAATACGCCCAGTTAATAGCTTATTGCATTCTACGTGCAGTCTGCGCTGCCTGCGGGGATGCATATTCAACTGAGGCCTGCCCTATAAACAAGGAGAACCATTGTGACAAAAAATGTAATAATTGTGGGAAAAACCACACTGCAAATAGCAGAGGTTGTTCTGTATATAAAGAGTTAAAAGTCGACTTGGCAAACATAGATTTGTAGCACGAAACAATTTTCCATATACATATATGTAGGATATTATTTATACGCATACAATTAATTTATTGGTTTTGATTTTAACATAAAGTGCTTAGATTAACTTTTAACAGAACTAGTGATGTTTTCTCTTTCAATGCTCAACGACGACTCCGCTTCTTCACGCATGAATCGGTGATCTTAAATGTATCGATTATATATCTAATTAAGAGTTGCCATATAGCTCAACCCGCTTCGAGTGTGCCGTGGAGGAAGCCCGCCTGATTCAAATCCCACATTCGGCCCTCCTGACTGTTCATTCGTCTCGAATGGACGTGACCATGGCTTCATATACTCCGAAAGTGTTGAGGTTCTAAATGGACCCTCAGTATCTCCTATGCGTTCTACTTCGTACCGCCCATGATCCTTTACTGTGAGTATCTTATAAGGCCCTAGAAACTTTCCCCTAAGCTTAAGCCCTACTCCGTACTGAGTTCTTTTGATCGCTACCACATCATTGTCCTTATAAATTCGTTCTTGTTTACGTTTCATATCAAAAGCTTTCTTGTTTTCCTCTTGAAGTTTTCTGATGTTCTCTCGAGCTTCTGCATGGTACTTTTCTCGATCTTCATCCAGTTCCTTAATCGCAAACTCCTGCATCAAGTCCTTTAATTCGTTACAGCCGGCTAACCGCATCTCAACTCCAGTTAGAAGTCTGAATGGCGTGATCTTTGTGCTTCTTGGCTCAGTGCTGTTAATGATCTGTTGAACTTGTCCCACGTATTTATACCAAGCAACTGGACTTTCGTAGCTTAACTTTGCAAGCATTGGCACGACGAGCTTATGAATCCTTTCAACTTGACCATTTCCGCGTGGTACATCTGTCGCTATAATCAAGTGTTGAATGTTGTGTGATTCACAATACTCCTTAAAGGCTGCGGATGTGAAAGCTGTGCCTCTGTCCGACACTATACGACACGGATTTCCAAAATGTACGGCTTGCTTATCTAGACAGATAAACTTCCTCAACACCAGGGCTACGGGTCGGATGTAACCAAACGTACTTAGAAAAACCATCCACTACGACAAAAATATGATTGCAGCGCTTTGCTGTCATCTCCATGGGTCCGACGTGATCGACGTGATACGTTATGAAGGGTTTATCGCCTTTATCAATTGAAGTTAGAAATCCTTCCTTCTTGCCTGCCTTTGCATTTACGATTATGCATCTGATGCAGCTTTCAACGACTTTCTCACATTTAACTTTCAGCTTTGGAATAAAGTACGACTTTTCTACAAGGTCCTGCGTCTTTTTGGCAGAAAAGTGTCCTTGGTTATGAGCGATTTGAATAATCTCATTCTCCATAGACGAAGGTACTACTACTAACTCACGGTTCGGGTCTTTAAAGAGCACATCGCTCTGAATATAAAAGTCCTGGTATGCATCCTTTTCTAGAAGGCTTTTTACTGCTTTTGTCCACTCGTCGTTGATCTGTGCTTCTTTTAAGCGATGAGTAATTGAATCGGACAAATAGTAACACTAGACTCTACTTAATGCATCGGCATGCTTCATTTTCGTCCCCGAACGATGCTCGATCTTGTAGTCGAAGTCCTGCAAATATAAGGCCCAACGAGCTACTCGTTGTGGAACTTCCTTCTTGTTCATTGTCATCTTGAACGCGTTACAGTCAGTTACGATAGTAAACTTTATGCCTAAAAAATAATCACGCCACTTGACTAGAGCTCCAATAATGGCCAATACTTCTAGCTCGTATGAATCGTATTTTTCTTCAAAAGGAGATGTTTTTCGACTCATATACTGAACAGGATGGAGCACTATCCTCATGATCCTTTTGCAGTAAGACTGCACCAAAACCGTACTTTTTTTTTTTTTATTTCATTAGTGCTCTAGGATAAACTACAGTATAATTTAATTATGCTAATCTAAACTTTGGGATGAGCCCATGCGGTACGACCGCGAAGTATTGCTTCACAGGGGCAAAGCCCAAAGTTAGGCACCTCTTCTTATGCGCTCAAGTCTACGCAATTCTTTGGTAACTTGACCAGCAAAGGCCGTTATCAGCGCCCAGTTTGCCTCGCTCGACAGCATGGTTGCGATCAGGGTGTCCGGAGAGAGGGCTCCACCAACTTGTACGCCGACTTCTTGCCTTGCCGCTGCAAATCTGTTGCAAACAAAGAAGGCATGTTCGGCGTCCTCTTCAATGCCTGCTCCACACAGCATGCAGTCGCTGTCGGTTTCGTGGCCAAACCTTTTTAGGTAGCCGCGGAAGCACCCATGCCCGCTGAGGATCTGCGTCAGGTCGAAGTTAACCTGGCCGTGCTTCCTGTCTTGGGGGACTCCAGCGCTAACAGGATACCGTGTGGTTCCACTGTCGGTTGCTACTTCTAGCCATCTTTCTCGGAAGTAATCCCTGATGAGGTTAAGGAGGTGGTTCGGCACGTTAAACGCTGAAAGCGCCCGCAGGATGCTACCCCAGTCAGCCGAGTTGAAGGCATTCTTGATGTCAAGGGTAACAATGAGGCAGTACTCTTTGTCACCCCCTTTCCACCGCGTGCCCTCTATCGCTTTGGAAGCAATGTCCACCACCATGCCAATAGCGTCTAGGGTCGACCGGGACTTGCGAAAACCGAAATGCGTGTGGGCGAGGCCGCCGCCCCTTTCAATGGCCGTTTCCAGACGGCTGGCTATTAGGCCTTCAAGGATCTTGCCTGCTGTGTCCAAGAGGCAGATCGGTCTGTACGCTGAGGGGTCTGATGGGGGCTTTCCTGGTTTTGGGATCAGTACCAGCTTCTGCGTCTTCCATTGTCTCGGAAAAGTGCCTTCCTCGAAGCATCTTGTGAAAAGGTATGCGAACTTCTCAGGGTGTAAGTTGAGAGCCAATTTGATTGCCCTATTGGGGATAGCGTCAGGACCAAAACCGTACTTGGACGCATCTGTGTGAATTTTTGTTGGCAAACTCGGGTTGTATAACTTTAGTACTGGTTCACTTATGAGAGCTGACTTTAAGTTTTCGATCGCAAGTTGCTGACCTTTTCCGAATTCGAACTTTGAATCTCCTCTCAATAGATCTGACAACGGCGTATCCGTTAATGAACTTTCTGAAATAGGAAGTAAGTCCTAGTCTCTAGGTGTAAGAATTTGAACTAAGTGTGAAATCCTTGTTTTCTGAATTTAATATTATTTAAAGAGATGTGAGAACTTTGTATTTGTTAAGAAGAATTATCGATTATTTGTAAAACTCTGGTGACACTAATGAATAAGAAGAAGATAGGATTTGGTTTGAAAATGTAGACGCGCAAGAAACACAAAATTGAAACGCACGTTTGCAAGAATTAATATAGTTTGAACATTTGAATAGTTTGTTTTACATCTTTCAATTTTGTTTTATAAATTGTGAAGCGTTCTTAATTTTTGCGTGATCTACTGCTGCCGT